TGAGCTTATTTGGATCTTCTGTCTTCTTTTCTTGGTTAATTTGGCTAATGTTCTATCAATTTTATTATTCTTTTCAAAGAATCAACTTTTTTATGGTTTTTTTTTTTGTTTCAATTTCATTTAGTTCTGCTCTGATCTTTATTATTTTTTTCTTCTGCTGGGTTTGGGTTTGGATTGTTCTTCTTTCTCTAGTTCCCTGAAGTGTGACCTTAGGTTGTCTATATGTGCTCTTTCAGACTTTTTAATGTAGGTATTTAAGGCTATGAATTTTTTTTTAGCACTGTCTTTGCTGTATTCCAGAGGTTTTGATAGGTTGTGTCACTATTATTGTTCAGTTTAAAGAATTTTTACATTTCAATCTTGATTTCATTGTTGACTCAATGATCATTCAGAAGCAGGTTATTTAACTTCCAGGGATTTGCATGGCTTTGAGGGTTCCTTTTGGAGTTGATTTCCAATTTTATTCTACTGTGGTCTGAGAGAGTACTTGATATTATTTCAATTTTCTTTTTCTTTTTTTGAGATGGAGTCTTGCTCTGTCACCCAGGCTGGAGTGCAGTGGCATGATCTCGGCTCACTGCAAGCTCTGCCTCCCAGGTTCACACCATTCTCCTGCCTCAGCCTCCCAAGTAGCTGGAACTACAGGTGTGCACCACCGTGCCCGGCTAATTTTTTGTATTTTTAGTAGAGATGGGGTTTCACCGTGTTAGCCAAGATGGTCTTGATCTCCTGACCTTGTGATCTGCCTGCCTCGGCCTCCCAAAGTGCTGGGATTACAGGTGTGAGCCACCGCACCCGGCCTCAATTTTCTTAAATTTATTGAGACTGGTTTAGTGGCCTATCATATGGTCTATCTTGAAGAAAGTTCCGTAATATGATGAGTAGAATGCATATTTTGCAATTGTTGGGTAGAATTGCTCTGCAAATATCTGTTAAACCCCTTTGTCCAGGGTATAGTTTAAATCTATTGTTTTTTGTCGACTTTCTGTCTTGATGACCTGTCGAGTGCTGTCAATGGAGTATTGAAGTACCCCACTCCTATTGTGTTGCTGTCTATCTCATTTCTTAGGTCTAGTAGTAATTGTTTTTTAAGTCCATTGTTAGGTTCCTATATATTTAGGATTGTGATATTTTCCCATTGGACTGGTTCTTTTATCATTGTATAACATCCTTCTTTGTCTTTGTTAACTGCTGTTGCCTTAAAGTCTGTTTTGTCTGCTAAAAGAATAACTACTCCTACTCACTTTTGGTGTCCATTTGCATGGAATATCTTATTGTACCCCTTTACCTTAAGCTTATATGAGTCCTATGTGTCAGATGGGTCTCCTGAACATGACAGAAACTTGGTTGGTGAATTCTTATACATATCGCCATCCTATATCTTTTAAGTGGACCATTTAGACCATTTACATTCAATGTTAGTATTGAGGTGTGAGGTACTATTCCATTCATGTTGCTATTAGTTGCCTGAAAACCTTGTTTTTTTCATTGTGTTACTGTTATGTAGGTCCTGTAAGATTCATGCTTCAAGGAGGTTCTATTTTTGTGATTTTGAAGATTTGTTTCAATATTTAGAGCTCCTCTTAGCTGTTCTTGTAGTGCTGGCTTGGTAGCGGTGAATTCTCTCTGCATTTGTTTGTCTGGAAAAGGCTATATCTTTCCCTCATTTATGAAACTTAGCTTTGCTGGATACAAAATTCTTGGCTAATAATTGTTTTGTTTAAGGAAGCTAAAAATAGGACCCCAATCCCTTCTAGCTGGTAGAGTTTCTGCTGAAAAATTTGCTATCAATCTGATAGGTTTTCCTTTATAGGTTATGTGATGCATTTTCCTCACAGTTCTTAAAATTATTTCCTTTTTCTTGACTTTAGATAACCTGATGACTATGTGCCTAGGCAATGATCTTTTTGCAATGAATTTCTTAGGTGTTCTTTGAGGTTCTTATATTGGATGTCTAGATCTCTAGCAAGGCTGGGGAAGTTTTCCTTGATTATTCTCTCAAATATGTTTTCCAAACCTTTAGATTTCTCTTCTTCCTTAAGAACACCAATTATTCTTAGGTTTGAAGATTTAACATAGTTCCAAACTTCTTTTTTTTTTTTTTTTTTTTTTACAGAGGTTGTATCATTTCTTTTTTTTTTTTTTTATTTATAGACAATGTGATTTTTTTGAAAATTTATTTATTATTATTATACTTTAAGTTCTAGGCTACATGTGCATAACGTGCAGGTTTGTTACATATGTATACTTGTGCCATGTTGGTGTGCTGCACCCATCAACTCGTCAGCACCCATCAACTCGTCATTTACATCAGGTATAACTCCCAATGCAATCCCTCCCCCCTCCCCCCTCCCCATGATAGGCCCCGGTGTGTGATGTTCCCCTTCCCGAGTCCAAGTGATCTCATTGTTCAGTTCCCACCTATGAGTGAGAACATGCGGTGTTTGGTTTTCTGTTCTTGTGATAGTTTGCTAAGCCATCCCATTACTGGGTATATACCCAAAGGATTATAAATTATGCTGCTATAAAGACACATGCACACGTATGTTTATTGCGGCACTATTCACAATAGCAAAGACTTGGAATCAACCCAAATGTCCATCAGTGACAGATTGGATTAAGAAAATGTGGCACATATACACCATGGAATACTATGCAGCCATAAAAAAGGATGAGTTTGTGTCCTTTGTAGGGACATGGATGCAGCTGGAAACCATCATTCTTAGTTCCAAACTTCTTAGAGGCTTTGTTCATTTTTTAAAATTCTTTTTCTTGTCTTTGATGGATTGAGTTAATTTGAAAACCTGTCTTTAAGCTCTGAAGTTCTTTCTTCTGCTTTTTCAATTCTGTTGCAGAGACTTTCCAGTGCATGTTGCATTTCTCTAAGTGTGTCCTTGATTTCCAGAAGTTGTGATTGTTTTTTATTTATGCTCTCCATTTCACTGAAGAAATTTCCTTTCATATTCTGTATCATGTTTTTGACTTCCTTAAGTTGAACTTCACCTTTCTCTGGTGCCTCCTTGATTAGCTTAATAGCTGACCTTCTGAATTATTTTTCTGGCAATTTGGATCTTTCATCTTGGTTTGGATCCATTGTTGGTGAACTGGTATGATCTTTTGGGGATGTTAAAGAACTTTGTTTTGTCATATTCCCAGAATTGTTTTTCTGATTCCTTCTCATTTGGGTAGACTATGTCAGAGGGAAGATCTGGGATTCAAGTGCTGCTGTTCAGATTCTTGTGTCTCACGGGGTGCTCCCTCGATGTGGTTTCCTCTAGATATGGGGCTTCCTAAGAGCCAAACTTTAGTGATTGTTTTTGCTCTTCTGGGTCTAGCCATCCAGCAGAACTACTGGGCTCCAGGCTGGTACTGGGGAGTGTCTGCAAAGAGTCCTGTGATGTGATCTGTCTTCAGGTCCTGCAGCCATGGGTACCAGCACCTGCTCTGGTGGAGGTAGCAGGGGAGTGAAGTGGACTCTGTGAGGGTCCTTGGTTGTGTTTTTGTTTAGTGCGCTGGTTTTGTTTTGGTTGGTCTCCAGCCAGGAGGTGATTCTTTCAAGAGTGTATCAACGGTGGTCTTATAGGGAGGATGCAAACTTGCCCTAGGAACAGCTGATAAAGTACTCAGTTTTTTCAGGCAGTGAGCAGGGTCATAGAGCTCCTAAGAGATTATGACCTTTATCTTTGGCTACCATGGCAGGTAAGAGAAAGACCATCAGGTGGGAGCAGGCATAAGAGTATCTGAGTTCAGCCTCTTTTTGGGCAGGGTTTGCTATGGCTGCTATGTGGGCTGGGGGCATGGTTCCCAGTCTAATGGAGTTATATTCCCAGGGGGATTATGGCTGCCTCTGCTGAGTCATATAGGTCACCAGAGAAGTAGGGGAAAGCTGGGAGTCACAGGCCTCACCTTGCTCCCATGCAGCCCACAGTCCTAAAGGCCAGTCTCACTTGGGAGGGTTTTGATTATTGATTCAATCTTCACTAATATTGTTCTGTTCAGATTTTCTATTTCTTCAAGAATCAGTGTTGGTAGGTTATACGTTTCTAATCTTGGTCTATTGTATCCACTGCTGTAAGTGAAGCACTTAGAAGAAAGCCTGGTCTATAGTAGGTATTTAGTAAATTTTTGCTGAGTGAATGAACTAAAATATTTTTGGGAGATAGATATTACTGAGAAGTGTGTGGGAAAATGGAAGGAGGAATATTTAACTCTGTGCTATAAGACATAATATAAATTCCTTAGAAATCTCTGTTGAGTCCGGGTGTGGTGGCTCACGCCTGTAATCCCAGCACTTTGGGAGGCTGAGGCGAGCGGATCACAAGGTCAGGAGTTTGAGACCAGCCTGACCAACATGGTGAAACCCGGTCTGTACTAAAAATAGAAACAATTAGCCAGGTGTGGTGGCATGCGCCTGTAATCCCAGCTACTCGAGAGGCTAGGGAGGAGAATTGCTTGAACCCGGAAGCGGATGTTGCAGCGAGCTGAGATTGCGCCATTGCACTCCAGCCTGTGCAACAAAGTGAGACTCCATCTCAAAAAACAAAAAACAAACAAACAAAGGAAATCCCTGTTGAATTCTTTCAAATTCCTCTTGGGCTAGTAATGCCCTGATCTCTCTTCTTCTTTGTGGAACTACTTTTAATAGTTCCTCTATTGCCCCAGAAATGAAGTTCTGGCTCTCAGATTGCCTACATTATTGGGAAACCTGAGCTTTATAAGTAAGCTGAGCACTCATTAACCACTTACTATTTGTCGTTTGGAACCTTACCATTCTTTGGCCCCCAATGTTTGCTCAACTAAATAAACTCTTTGTATGAAACAATTTTATAAGTAAATTTACCACTTTAAAATATCTTCAAAGATACAAGACTGAATTCTTCGACAGCAAGGATTATACGTTTTCACAGATGGCATCTCTAGCACATTGCTTGGCCACAGAAGCAGTCATTAAATATATTGAATGAATAAATAAATGCTCATCAGAAAAATAATTTACTCACAATTAAGAATGACAAAAGTGGAAATCCTGATATCAAGGCTATAGGCAAGTAGCTTGCTGAAAATGAAGCAGATTGATCAAGACATAAATATATCCAGATTTTTCCCAGAGCACAGTGGATCAGACCAATAATTATTTGAGCAGCCTATAAGAAAAGAATGTCAGAATCAATTATATGATACATACGTTTTAAGAGAGTTACAAATTAGGTGATGGAAAGGGAAGGGAGGGAGTATAGCTTCCATGTTTCTGAATCTCAGGAGTCTTTGCTACTATTCTTGTTCAGCCCTCAAAATTATCCAAAAATTGGGGAGAAGCCAAGGTGACAGAAGAAGGTAGCAGCCATAAAAGTGCTTAGAATTGCTACATGTAGTTCACACAGGAATTATGCATGATGGTTTTTAGCAACTGGTAGATGTATGGTTGCTTTCAGGCAAATGAAGGTGTTCTAGTGGCTTGTTTATGGGCCAGGTCAGCAAAATACATGGATCCAGCTCCTTTCCCTGATGTGTTTTTTACCATACCTATCAATCAGTTAATACAAAAATGGTTTTCTTGTGATAGCAATTTTGATTTTTAACACCATGGGGTGGGAGGAACACTTGCAATCAGTCCTGCTGAATCCTAAGATTCTCGCCCCTGTGATCTTAGGCACTTTCTTGAGCCATACAATCTCATAGTTTGGTTTTTGAGCTCACTCAAGTCCCCAATAATTAGGCTGTATTATGAAAAAATACGTAGCATACTAGGTTTGGTTGGGGAAAAAGAGTAGATAGTGGTCCAAAATATCAACTTCCTTGAGATAAATGTAGAGAAAGAGCATCAAGAGCATCGTGCTATGAGATGATCAATGTCCACAAAGCCCTACGATCTAGATTATCTCTTGACTATGACCCCGACCTTGTCATCTCCTTTAGGACCCAGTCTCAGTTTTATTTCAAACTCTTTATAGATATACACAGACAAAGGGAAAATCACAGCAGTAGGATTGCTGGGACTCAGTTTATCAACTCTTTCCCATTGGGTAACTGAGATAGAGGAATTGATGTCTCTTTCCTTAAATATTTGGGATCTGCAACACCAAAATCATTTATCCACTCAAGTAGCACTGAATCTTACCCCCAACATTCTGATTTCTTCTTTCAACACAATGTGAGATGATGGCATGTTATCCAAAATATGGTGTAGACATTAGAAAGGATGAATGGAATCTATCTCTAAAGGCAACATAGAAAAAATAAACATAGTGATTTTAAAAACAGTGATCTCAGATAAGCACTTAAAAGTCATGAGAAACCTATCATTGTTGTCTTAATTTTTTAAAATAATGAACAGTTCCCTGAAATAGTATTTAAAAATTAATCAATTGATAAGCTCTCTTGACATACGTAACCTCTTGGCAATTCTAATTTCCTGTTAGATTTTATACAGTTTTACCAATTTTAATGACACCCTGTGGTCCTTAGGATTCTAAGATGCAGACATCATAATTTATATGGCTTGTTTAAGCAAATAGAACATGGTGAGCTCACATAATCACTGGAAGGCAGCTTTTCAAACAGTGCCCTAAGACAACTCGCTGATCTAAACTGAGAGGAAGTGCTCTTGCCATTTCCTGCCCTAGAACTCTGTGTAGAACTGGCATCATGAGAAAACCTTCCCGTCTCCTGGGCCATCGTCTGTCCAATTGATGACTACTGTAGGGTCTCTTTTGTTGTTCTCCCCTAAATCAAACTTTAGTGCAAGAATACGTAATTGGCAGACCTAGATTCAAATGCCTCCACTTTGATTTCAAGGAGCAAGGGAATATCGTTTTTGGATTCATTTTGGCAAAGGTAGCTTTACAACTTAGTGACCAAAAAAAGGTAGGGAAGTGTGACACATGGCAGCATGAATTTTTAAAAGATGGCGCATACATATCTCTATGACCTTTGCTATTGTGGACACCATTCTGTTGTGCCAACTCACCTCAGTTTCATGCTTTCATCTGTAGGAATTATTCCCTTATTGTACTAACTGGAAAGAGGTGGGGAGTGTGTCTCAGGTTGGATCATCAGTGTCACTTTCCCAGAATTGTTATTTAGAACTTAGATATTATAGGCCCGGCCGCGGTGGCTCACGCCTGTAATCCCAGCACTTTGGGAGGCCGAGGCGGGCGGATCACAAGGTCAGGAGATCGAGACCACGTGAAACCCCGTCTCTACTAAAAATACAAAAAATTAGCGGGTGCGGTTGTGGGCGCCTGTAGTCCCAGCTACTCGGGAGGCTGAGGCAGGAGAATGGCGTGAACCCGGGAACGGAGCTTGCAGTGAGCCGAGATCGCGCCACTGCACTCCAGCCTGGGCTGGGCGACCAGAGCGAGACTCCGTCTCAAAAAAAAAAAAAAAAAAAAAAAAGAACTTAGATATTATAATGTTAGTCTGGGTTTGCCTCTAGATAAGATTATATAAACTCTTGAAATGAAAACATTAATGTGTTCTACCATATGAGCTGAGAAGACATCCAGAAAAATCAAAAAATAAAAAATAGGACCAAGAGAACTACTGGAGTTCCTAATAACTTCAATTTCCTAGTTATAGTCCTTTTCTGAAACAGATGTCTTCCTGCCCTTGGAAATACATGTGTCTTTGTTTTGCTTAAGCTAGCAAGAGCTGTTTTCTGTTGCTCGCAGCCAAATATTTTTAAATTATTGCTTTGTCTTTCTTATAACTCTTGCCCTATGGCTTTGAGAATTTACTCTTTAGATTTTACAATATCTGATGGATCTTCGTTCTTTACCTAGTTTAGATTTTTTCTCAATATTTTGCCAATAGCCAACTCTGAAGTCTAAGATCTTGGTTTCAAATCTTTGCTTACGTTATTTTTCTTTCCAATTTACACAACCATTAATTCTTAAGGATCAGTTACCAAATAGATGTACCAATGACACATGAAACTGAGAAAATGGAGCATAGTATTGTGAAACAAGCGGATATAGACTTGAGTTCAAATCTTGTCTAGATTGACTGCTAATTGTATAATGGTACAACTACTTTTAGACTAATAACAGTTGTCTATATAATTACTAATGTTAAGTTCTACATAATATTTCAGAGAATTAGTTTCTATTCCCACAGAGTTGTTTTGGGAAGCAAATAATAGGAACTGGCACAAAGTCAAATGCCAATAATGCTTTTTTCCTGTTTCCCTTCAACCTCTCTCCGTTTACTTGTATCAGATTCCTGATTCCCCCTGTAGTTTTGGACACTGCTTTTGGTTTCTTTTCCAGATTGTATTAGAAACACCTCACTGGTTATTTGTGAGTGGCAAGCCACCCAGGTGCCGAGGCAAGAGACTGAAGGCACAAGCTGTTTCAGTATAATAAACAAAATACTTAAAATAAGAATAGTTGTATTAGACATAGAATATAGATATGATTATCTATGAATATTCCTAATCATTAGTTTATAGCATTATTCTTTATTCTAATATCGTAATAATATTTGTTCTACCATTATAACCTAGGAAAAAACCAGGCTATACAGCGACAGGAGCTGAAGGTACACGGTGAGAAGTGACCAGCAGTGTGAGCCCTCTGTCATGCCCGAATAGGGCCACTAGAGGGCTCCCTGGTCTAGCGGTAATGCCAGTGCCTGGGCAGGCACCCGTTACTTAGCAGATCCTGTCTAGAGTAGCGCCAGTGCCTCTTGAAGGCACCCGTTACTTAGCAGACCAGGAAAGGGAGTCTCCCTTCCCGGGGGGAGTTGGAGAAGACTCTGCGCCGCCACCTCTTGTGGAAGGCCCGCCCGCATCGTCAGTCAGGCCCGCCGGCGCCGTGCGGAGGCCTAACCGTCTCCCTGTGATGCTGTGCTTTAGCCCTGATGCTCCTGGTCCACTTTCATGTTCCGCCCTGTACACCTGGCTCCGCCTTCTGGATAGCAGTAGCAGAATTAGTCTAAGTATTAAAGTCTTTGATCTTTCTGAGAAGAGCATAGAAGAAATAATGACGTAAGCTGTGCCCTCTCTCTCTGCCTTGGCTGCCTAAAAGGGAAAGCCCCCTGTCTGGTGGACACGTGACTCACGTGACCTTGTCAATCACTGGAGATGACTCACACTCCTTACCCTGCCCCTTTTGCCCTTGTATACGTAACTAGCAGCGCGGTCAGGCATTCGGGGCCACTACCAGTCTCCGCACCTTGATCGTAGTGGTCCCCGGGGCCCAGCTGTCTTTTCTTCTATCTCTTTGTCTTGTGTCTTTATTTCTACAATCTCTTGTCTCTGCACAGGAAGAGAAAAACCCACAGGCCCTGTAGGGCTGGACCCTACTGTTATTCACACCATTCCTTTGAATTCCCTTGAGTTACAATTTGCTACAAAGTAGCAGAATATGAAACAACTCGGTCACCACAGCAAAGGAACCTAAAAGCTTAAATCCAGCCTCTGTAACATGAACACAGTGGCATTTCCAAAACAGAAATCATGTGTAGAAATCACTTGCTTAAATCATTCTACCACAAAGATACATGCACTTGTATGTTCACTGCCATGCTATTCACAACGGCCAAAGACATGGAATCAACCTAAATACCCATCAAAGTGGACTAGATAAAGAAAATATGACACATATGCACTGTGGAATACTACATGGCCATAAAAAAGAACAAAAATCATGTCCTTTGCAGCAACATGAATGGAGCTGGAAGTCATTATACTAAGTAAATTAATGCAGGAACAGAAAACCAAATACTGGCATGTTCTTACTTATGTGAGCTAAACATTGAGTACACATGAACATGAAGAAGGGAACAGCAGACACTAGGCCCTATGTGTGGTGGATGGTGGGAGGAGGTGAAGATAGGAAATCTACCTATTACGCTGGGGCGGTGGGTCACTCCTGTAATCCCAGCACTTTGGGCGACCAAGACAGGCAAACCACGAGGACAGGAGTTCAAGACCAGCTTGGCCAACATGGTGAAACCCTGTCTCTACTAAAAATACAAAAATTAGTTGGGCATGGTGACAGGCACCTATAATCCCAGCACTTGGGAGGCTGAGGCCGGAGAATCGTTTGAACCTGGGAGGCGAAGGTTGTAGTGAGCTGAGATTGCCACTGTACTCCAGCTGGGGTGACAATGTCTCAAAAAAAAAAAAAAAAAATCTACCTTTCAAATACTACAAGTACTATGCTTATTAGCTGGGTAATAAAATTATCTGTACACTAAACCCCTATGACATGCAGTTTATCCATCTAACAAACCTGGACATGTACCCCTTGAACTTAAAACAAAAGTTGGAAAGGAAAAAAAAAAATCTTTCGATGACTCCTCGTTCTCTTCAGGTCACAGTACACATTTCTTTGTGTGGCACATTGGAGCCAGGTATATTTGGCCTACACTTCTTTTTCCCACACAGCACTCCATCCATTCCTGACTGCTGACATTTCCACTACTGTGTGATATTTAAGCACCTTATGGTTTTTAAGTGCCTTCCCATATACATCATTGTTGCTGCAAAATCTCACAGTGTCACAGTATCTGGCTCTAGCAATGAGTTTGCACATTGTTGGAATACAATAATTGCTGGGAGAATCCTTTCTACCCATTTTGGGTATCTTGTGCCTTGGGTTTTGCACTAGAGATTATATAAACAGAAACTCATATTTTGGATGATAAGAAAGGTTGATTTCCAAGAACAGTGATTTAAGAGTTTCCCTGATTGTGTATTCCCTTTCCTGGCTGATGCGTTACCAGGAAATGCATGACGTGTTACCACATTAGGTATAGATGGGTAGATTTGTTTATGCCAGTTATGAAACATGTTTGGGAAGTTCAGCCTTAGAGCATAGGTTCTCTGGCATTTATTGAATTAGTTTTGGGCAGCCTTGGAAGGTTACCCCAAAGACACACACTGTCTTTCTCCATAGCAGATGAACCCAAGGAGATAGAACAGACTGGACTGAGACATGTGGCAGGTACTAAAAAGTCTTGAGAAGGCAAACTTCGTTTCAATATTAAGGATCACATTGAATTTATACGTGCAGACAATATGAATTTCAGGAGGTGATTCTCAGAAGAGCCACTTTTCACACGAGGACTCTGTGGCCTGCTCCAGAGGAGCAGCAGTGGAATCTCTTATATAATCCTGGTTGAGGGTTCTCCCTCCTAAAGCTTTGTAGGCCAGTCGGGAAAGGGAATACAAAATCAGGGAAACTCTTGAGTCACTGTTCTTGGAAATCCACCATTCCTATCATCCAAAATATGAGTTTCTGTTGATATCATCTCTAGTGCAAAACCCAAGGCACATCTCCTAAGCTCAAAAGGATATAGAAATACGGTAAAAGATGGAAAGTAAGAGTCATTCTTGCCACAACCATGACCCTGGGATCCCCAGTTCACTACACTATCTCCATATTCTCCTCCTGTCAATTAGCCAATTTATTTTTACATGAGAGGATGCTGGGTGTGTCAACCAGGTCACTTACTGAAAACACACATGGGAAGAAAAAATATTGAAAGAACTACGTGAAAAGTGCCACAATGTATTAATCGAGGCTCTTTCCACCTGGAAGTGATTTGGAAAACACTATGACTATGGGGTGGTGGGGAACACCTGACCCTCAGCAGGTGCTAGTTTTATTCCCAGCGCCAGTGAAAATCCAACCAGGGAGCCCTCCACTCACGCCTGGGCCCAGAGAGTGTGATCTGGCATTCAACTTCCTCAATGCGGGGCCTGGCAGCCCCGGGAGCCCGGTGGGTGCTTCCTCGGTGGTGCCCCTCACCTCGCCTCGCGGGGTTCTAACGTCCAAGAGCGCGGCTGTGCGAGAGACCCGCGTGGGCACCTGAGGCGCGGTGGGGCTCCCGTGGCTCCGCGGAGCCTGCAGGTTCCCAAGACGAGGGTGGGGTAGGGGCTGACAACGATGCCGCCCTTTCCTGGCTGTGTGGGCTTTATCCTCTGTCCTTGGGCCTGGCACACCCAGGGGGAAGAGGCTGTGCTTGATGTGTCGGCGGGCTGATCGCGTGGGGGCCTCACTACTAACCCCAGACACACCCCCGCTTAGAAGCAGCAACATTGTCAGAAGCTCCTTGCCGCTAAGAATCCTCTGCAAAATGTGGTGGATACAGCACTGCACTTAACTCCTTCGGTCCTCAGCTTATTCTTTGGTAGAGTGGGGATGATACCCGCTCAGGTACCTCATATGCTCATGCTGCAGAACTTTGAAAACCAAAGATGTTTTACAAACATATTCCACTGCGATAAGCAGGGTGCATATATGTCCTTCAAGCCGAACCTGACAGTTTAAGTTGTATTCTCAGTGTTTAACAACTATCCTCAACACATAGTAGGAACAGATGAATGATTGCAAGGTTTTGTCTAACATATTAAAGTGTTAGCATCAGCTGGCTAATTAAGAGTAATAGATGACAGTCATGTTCGTTGAACTCTTTTATGTTTGGCGTTTTTATGATAAATTAATTCAGCAAATTTCCACTTGGTGCCAGTATGTGCTAGGCATTGTTCACAAGGCTGGGGATACAGTAGTGAATAAAACAGATGAAATTCTAATAAGAATAAGGAAGCTAATAATAAATAAGATTCATAAGGAAAATGTATAGCATGTTAAGAATAATGAGAGCTAAGGAGAATGATAAAGTATGAAAGGGAGGTGGGGTCAATGGAAATGTAAATGAGGGGAGTCAGGAAAGTCCTCATTATAAAAAAACTTGCACACAAATGTTCATAGGAGCATTCCTATATATTCCTAATAGCCAAAAGTGAAAACAACCCAAATCCCTATCGACTAATGAATGAACAAATAATATTTGGTATATCCATATAATGTATTATTTGACAATGAAACACAACAAAGTTCTAGTTTATGCTACAGCATGAGTAAGCCTTGAAATCATTATGGTAAGTGAAAGAAGCAAGTCACAAAAGACATTCATATAAAATAGCCCCAGTAGGCAAATCCACAGAGACAAAAAGTAGACCAGTGGTTTGCTAACACTGAGGTAAGTGGTGGAGAATAAGAATTACTCTTAAGGGGTTTGAGTCCAAAATTAGGTGCTGTTATTTACACAACTCTGTGAATATACTAAAAGCCACTAAACTATACACTTTAAGTGGGCAAATTTTATAATATTTGAATTATATCTCAATGAAACTGTTATAAAAATGAAAGGCAAGATGTATGTTTTATCTCTTTACTTATGAAATTTTGAAATAATGAACACCCTACAAGGGTGACTATGATTCTTTTTCTTTTTTTATGGGGAGGGAGAGATTGGCCTTTTCAATTTTTATGTATTTGCTTTGTTGACCAGTGCGTGATCCATATAGTGTCACTGACTTCCTTTCCCTAGAATATAAGCTCCCTGAAGGCAGGATCTTGTCTCTTTTGTTTAAATCTGTTCCCAGAAGCAAGCATTATGCCTGGTGCAAAGTAGATTGTCAAAAAGTAGTTTATGATGAATGTATGGATGAATGGAGGAGCTACCCTATATTTACATTAACAGCTAATTCTTTCCAGTATCTCAATGGTGATATCCTGCTCTGTGATAAAAAACAAATATCTTTCAGATCTGACATGGCATCCCTATCTAGAGCTATTCTTTGTGTTAAACTAGCTCAGGCTCTAAAGCTGGGACCTTGTTCAAGGATGCATGTGAATGGAGTTAAAGATTGGCACTGCAATTGCACCTGATCTCCACTTGCAGGCAGACTTCCTTGGTGCTGGTTGATCAGTTAGGAGGAAGGGGCCTCAATTTCTAATTGTACTGTTCAGAGGGGACTCATCGTCTATTTCATTTTCCCAGAGGAGCTGTTATTGAGCAGTCTGTCCTTTTGAACAGGGTACTTCTGTCTAGTTTGCACAACGGCATCTTACGTGTTAGTAGCCCCTTTTCAGATTATTGGCCCCCGATCTCTACATTTCTTTCAAAATTTCTGGCATCATATCCTTCCTCATTCAGCCTGGATCCCACAGATCCAACTAATTATCTTCTTATTAAAACCCACAAATGCAAGTTTACCACCTTGTAATGCCACCTTTTCTGTGTAGGATATTTTAGGGAAACTCAAAATGGCATGGATAGACACCCAACAAAGATGTCATTTGAAAGTCCAGTGTCTTCATCTGTGCTTCTAATTAAATCGTTGAGTATAATTTGGCCAATTTTTCCTCTGATTCCTGGCAACTCTTAATCCAAACAAGTACTTTATTCATTACCACTCCTCACTCCTAAATGACTTCCTTGTCAATATTTTCAAAGGAAAGACAAAGGCTCTCATGTTCTTTCTTATCCTCCTCATATGGAGAAATGGATAAAAAACATTTACATTAAAGCTATTGATTCACTATTTTCTTACTTGATCAGAATTAGGTATCTTTCCTGGGTTCTAAAGTGTAATCTGTTCCTGTGCTACTAATCTCATTTCCTTCAAAGGGCTTATAAACCTTAATCCATCAATTATCTCTTTCTCCCCAGTATATTCAAATATTACTCCCTGCTTCGTATTTCTTCTCAACCCATACATTTGTACAAGTCTCTCTCACAGTTGTGGTTTCTAGTTCATGAAGGTAGACCAAACAGATGCTACTTATTCCTCATATGAACTCCAATTCCAAGGAGCACCCCTACAAAAAAAATTCCATTGCCACATTGAAAAATAAGAAGCAGCTCTCTTGGTGAGCCAGAATCTGTGAATTCCTGAGAGACTAAAAGTATGCAGACTAGACTGAAGAAAAAGTACACAATAATAAAGGACCTGCAACAGAAGATGGTTCTAAATGGTGGGAATTTTTGCATTTCATAAACAAATGGCATATACATAAATAACACAGATACTCTAATCTTGAATTTATATCCCCCCAAATTACTTAAGGGGTAAGATGGGGGGACCCAGTTGCCCATTCCTGGGATAGCGAATGTGTTAATGTGCTGGGTGCATGGCACAGACTTTTAGGCAGCATTTAAAATCAACTGATAGAGGTACTGATAGCAACATGGATAGATCTTTAAAACTTACTGTTGGGAGGAGCAAAATTTGTGCATGTAATTTATCAGTGTGTATGATCTTCATGGATTCCAAATACATTCCCACAATAGAATGCCATACATTTTTGGGGAGATACTGACAAAAATGTTTTATAAAGTGGAACAATTGCTCATGGAGGGAGGGAAGGGGGAGTGGAGTATGGACATCAAAGAAAATTTTAAAAATAGGAAGCATCCTTATAGACACAACAAAACATTTCTAAGATAATTTACTTAAAATTTGAGTGTGATAAGCCACAGTGTAAAATTATAGGCAAAAATACGTAACGTTTTGGGAGCTGGACTTTCTAGACAAAATAAATCCAGCAGCTATTCATGTAGTCTCAATAACATAAAGATATGGCTAATTGTAATATACCTTCTTCACTATATGTAAGCTATGCCTGTTTTAATACTATCCAGTGAGAAAGAAATAATTAGAAGTAGTATTTAGAGCTAATCAGCAAAGAAGCCTTCACAAGTAATGGGATTATTTATCATTTATGTGAAGTCTCCTTCTCACAATGAAATAATTTTCTCCAGTTAGCATTTATTACGTCATTATCAATTTTAGGTATAGATTCTACTCTAGAAACATGTGCCCATTCATAGAATTTCTCTTACATGGAAGAATCTCTTAATTCAGGCTGACCATATTCAAACTGAGATAAATTCATGCACAGTTCCCCACATAGACAAAAATAACCACATTCATCAATTTTCATTTTTATTAATGAAATAGGGGAAAGAGAATACTGACATGGATTTAATGAAATTACATTTTCCAAGAAGCCTCTTGAACAGAATGAAGTTCTTCATCTGTCACTAAACTTTCGTCCTTGACTGAGCTCACCGATGGTTTCTTTAATATGTAGAAAAAGGATCTCCTTCTGCTATGAACCTGAGGTTAAGTTAGATATCAGTACATTGATCATTAATAGACTCTAAAATAAAGAACTATAAAATCTGGGGTAGAATTTTGGAAATAATTCTAATAGAAGTATTCTCATCATTGAGATTTTTATTTTATTTATTTATTTTTTAGAGATGAGGTCTCTATCTGTCACCCAGGCTGGAGTGCAGTGGCACTATCATCGCTCACTGTAACCCTGAATCCCTGGGCTCAAGCCCTCCTTCCACCTTCCCCTCCTAACTAGCTACAGGACTGCAGGTATGTGCCACCACTCCTGGGTAATTTTTGCTATTTTATTTTATTTTATTTTATTTTATTTATTTTATTTTATTTGAGATGGGGTCTCACTGTGTTGCCCAGGCTGGTCTCAAAATCCTGAGCTCAAGCAATTCCCCTGCCTTAGCCTCTCAAAGTGCTGGAATTATGGGTGTGAACCACCCCACCAGGCGAGATTTTTAAATTAAACCACGTGCTTTTGATACTTTTTAGTTTCTTTCTTTGTCCTCTCTCCCTTTCTCCCTGGTTTCCATCCTCCCTTCCCTTTTGTTTCTATAGATTGAAAGCCAAAGACAATGCCATATGACAAGACAGTCCCCAAGACAATGACTCATCATAAAGGACATACTGTTTTCTACTCAAACTTGATTGCATTATTAAGTATAGCATTGAATACCTATCAGTTTAAATTCTATTTAGTTGGAGTAGAAATCTATATGTCCTTATATACCCAATCCATGTTTGTTCTCTTTTCACTTTATTCAGAGAAGAATTAAGAATAAGACCTCTGTGTGTGTGTGTGTGTGTGTGTGTGTGTGTGTGTGTGTGGTGTGTTTTTGTTTACTTTGCTTTTAGGTAGAGCCATATTTTTTTGAGATTTTGAGTTTGAATACCTTTAGATGGAACTTCAGCTCCCCATTTTAATACCTTACTTAAAGAAAATTCATTGAAAGGCAATCAGTGATACAGATAATAGGTTTTCAATACCCTAATTCATCTGGAATTATAGCTAATTCACATGTTTTGAAAAGTAAATGACTTTTGCAGTACAAATGAAGATGTAGCCTCTGAGTGTCAAGAGAAAGTGGGAAATACGAGAAAAGAAATCTATATGATAAATTCCTCTCCCTCCTAATTCATTTTATCAGGTTAATTCAAAATAGAGATTCCTAAACAAAGCTATTTGTAAATTAAGATGGTAAACTTAACAAGGTATCTATATGGAATGATAAGTAAATTGGTGAGGCTGGAGCACAGCGTTTATGGGAGTGAGTGGTAGGAAATGAAGTCAAGAAGGTAGATTGGGCTAATTTATTGCAGAAATGAATGTTGTGCTAGAATATCAGGCTTTCATGTGGTGAGTGTTGCCTGTTTAAACTTTCATTTGGGGAGATGAAGAAACAGAGGACAGAACTGAAGTACATTTAAGGGATCATATAAAAAAGATTATCAGCTAGTTTCAATTTGAGAGTATTTCTCAGCTCCCTGGCCAGGACAGCCAAGTAGATGGTGGTGCTCTTAAATGGAAAAGACAAGGTAATCACTTTGTGGGTGAGATGATTAGTGCAGTTTTAGATGTGTTTTATTTGAGGTGCTTTGGAATCATTTGAAGTTGGCAATATGAGCCTAGAGCTCAGTAGAAAGGTCTAGGGTGGAGATTCAACATTTGGATTATTATCAATTTATAGATGGTATACATCTACCAAGCTGTAGGTATATATGGTGTTGCCTATACAAAAGCTATAGAGGTACAGTTGGAAAAGTCAAGGCACAGAATAGCAACCTGAAGAGATTAAGACCTAGGTAAGAAGGCAGGTCAAAAGGTCAAACAGATGAGATTAGAAAGTGGTAAAATGGGGAGGAAGCTTAAATTTCCTAAACCTTTCTACACATGTGGTCTAGGATATATGGACAACTCATTTTCTTCTTTGTGTTAACTTTGGTCTCCTTCTCAGTTGTTTCTATGATCTCACAGATCCCTAAGCCTCAGCCTGTTGATTGGGTACTGGGGGAAAATGGGTGGGAATATCTTTCACTGAAGTTCTCTGATTTAATGAGATTGAGGTCAAATGGAGGTTAAGTTTTCCTTTAGACATGAAGTAGTTGGAATGGAGAAAGTAGGAAAATAGCTTTATTGAAAAAAGGTTTTTACCATCTTTTTCAACTTCTCCATTACTCCCACATCTTGGTTTCTGAAGACACTAAATTTCTACACTTAGATAGTCGACTTGTTCTCCCAAATTTTGAGAAATAAAGGCTTCAGACTTCAGTAGTCCCATATCCCTGTGCCTGGTAACAACTTCTACAAAGCTTTTGTTTCCAGGGTAATATCTGTTGAATTAAACAGACTTGAGCCAGAAAATCATATGTCTTCTACCTTATTCTCTCATACGGTGTGGACATAAAAGTACCCTGTAATGCAAAACACTTTTATAAAAGGGAAGATTATTCAGCTGTGGAGGGACCCATGTAAATGCACGACAGTTAGTGCCGAGTGTTCTCAGTTATCTACAATCAGAGCTTAGTGGTGGCATTATTTATACTTAATTCATATCAAAACCTTAGTTATTCAAATAGTGTTCATAACAGAAGACAACATCCTCTGATTTACTAAGGGAGAAATGGGATACTCACTGCATTTTTATCTTCCTGTATATTTTGCTTGGAATGCCCAGTGGATGACTATACTTGTGACAGACAACTCCAAGATGGTTAATATGAACAGATATTCCGAAAGGAGTTTACCAGTTTTCTGTACCCAAAAACAAAATGTACATTCCTTACAGATCTATGTGAGTGCTTTAGAATTGATAAATGTATCTTAAAATTGAAGAAGAAAAACAGAAGAGAAAAATGACCCACCATATCCTGCACCCTCAACAAGAGAATTTTAAATATTTTTTACTCGTAATTATAACTGATAATTATTGAGGATGATGATAAACTGATACATTTCTCCCAAGTGGATGATGAGAATCATTGATTGTGTTTTCTTGTTTATTGTTGTGGATAATGACAGGAAATTTTCACTGAGGCCAATAAATCTCTGGGGAAGATGGAATTGTGACACCCTTGAGGTTTAGTGTTGTAGAACTTATTTAATAGAGAAACATATACAAATCTGCCCTGTTGATAGGAAAGGACGCTAAAGAGAAACAATGAAAGAAAAGAATGTTTGGACTTGTAACCTGGACTCAACACAAAGGCTTATGTGGCCTGGGGGTAGGAATTTCCTCCTGGGATTGTGCCTCTGTCTATAAGCCCCAATAGATCCATATCCTGACAGGATAGCTGGGTTGGAAACAATAATACAGAATCTGTAATATTGGAAGCCCAAGCCTCTTCAGTACTCAATGCACTTTTATGACAAGGTCACCACGGGCTACTCAGATCAGTGTTAAATAATGACACCATTTAGTAGTGACTGAACCATGGCAGTGGAAATTAAGGGCACGCTGGTGGACTGATGAGATACTCCATGACTCTGTTAACTAAGGGTTTGGAGTCAATATTGAACCTTTGGATCCCAGTGGTTTTGAGTAACTTGAGAGGGTCAACAGGGAGGGGACCTCAGAAGGAAGATTCTGGATTTCCTACTAATATGAATATTGATAGTTTAAGAGATAAATTAGAAAAATGAAAGAGTTAAGATCATAATTAAAGATCAATCCAATAAAATGAGGCATTCTTGTTATACAAATACAATCTTAAGCAACATCTTTATGTTTCTATTTATTTAAGATACCACTTTAAGGTATCCATCAGGGTATGTGTCATAAAATATTAACATTCTCTGCAGCAGCAAAATGATTCTTTGATGTGCCACTGAATTGATTTTTGTAAAAGCTCAATTCTGTGGGGTAAGATAATTTAGAATTTAAAACCATTCTGCATTAGAAAAAATGATCTGTAAGTGACTAGCCATGTGACTCTGAGCAAGTAGTTTAAAATTTCTAAACTCATTTCTTTATTGAATCAGAGACATAAATGGTCCCCTAAGGAGGTTTACAGTTGTACTCACGGTAAAATCACTTTCAAAGCTACATAGAAATAAGAAAAATCCAGCAAAATGCAAACTGGTGTATTCTTTGCAACTAGATAATTAACCAAGAGTTTTGGATGTTGAAGTAAGGAGAGTTTACTTAATGAGTTAGGAATTTAAATATAGGCAATATCTAATGGGTTCAATTCAGAAAAGTTGATTTCTAAGTATGGGTAAAAGTCCCCACTGTTTTGCCCATCATCAAGCCCTGGACAGATGGGGTAGAGCAGAAGGACAGAAATCCTAGAGAAGACTTTGGCCCTTACGCTTCAATTTCTACACAACTTGCTTAGCACTGACTTCCACCTTCTTGCCCTCCTAGCCCCTTCTCTATACACCAACAAACATGTACAGATAAATGCACATATGTCCACAGTTCCACATGAATGGGAACATAGATATACACAGATACTGAAATGCAAATGTGAACACACTTAGACTCCCACAGACCTGCTGAACAACTGACAGAATCAAAGCAGGCAGTGCAAAAATGTCCACATAGTTGCAAACGATATAGAACTGAGTACTCATGCATTCAAAATTACATACGTGTACAGAGTTCAGCTTTATTCTTTTTATAAACTACAGCCCTGACATTGAACATAAATCCCTGGGTGTCACAGGTACATGAGTATGCCCATTCCTTCTTGGAAGACCAAGTCTTGCTATAACAAACTTGATCTTTAAGGCCTGGGAGAACTGACCTCAGAGATGCAGGAACCTGGAATGAACTGGGCTGCCCATCATAAAAATATCATGGCTATCAGGTGGGTCCAGAATTGAATATAATGCTTAGTCACTCAAAAGGCATCTATTAATATTTATAATACCTTTCATTTGTTTACTTGAGGTTTTGGGTGGTCTTGGGTTTAGAAATATAACTCATAGTTTGATTCACATTTTTAATAGATGCATATACCATGAGGTAAACTAACGGTGAGGGTTACCTCCATGACTTGCATTGTACTTAAGTACCCTGATCACTTAGTAAATATTTAACACATAATTCTAAAATTGTGATGAGATTCTCACAGAAACCTGGTACTTACTTGTGGCCAAAGTGGATTTTTTGAACTTTTACTATATTTTATAAACTCAATTGATAGTAAAAGCAGACCAATCACTGAAATACAGGCACTTATGATGTTTACTACTAAAGCGTAAGACACCTGCAATAGAGAAAAATAATCATTTGGTCATTGGAAATTATCCATATGCATCATTGACAAGTATATTAAAGTAAAACATTTTTTTAAAAGTAAAAGGTTTATATAAATGTTGATCTTTTCAGCAGAGTAGGATCATTACAAAGACGGTCAGAACTGCAGATGTGTCAGGATCCCAATAGGAATAAACCATTCTGGAGATGATACAATTTTTGATATAATAAACAAGTTTATTTCTTCACTGACAATTTATTGAATACCTATTCTATACTCCGTAATCTATGCTCTGCATTAGTAGATAAAAAGACAGAAAAGAAATGGTCTCTGCACTCAAGGAATTTTCAGACTATTGAGGAAGACAAACAAGTGCATGTTAAATGTGAATAGAATGTAAAAAAATTGTTAATAATGTGGGCAAATTCATAGTGCCATACAGTTTCAGAATATCAGAGAGCTAACATTTCAGGAGTTTGTTATGGTTCATTTTGGAGTGGAAGAAGGAGAGCTGTAGAAAATTTTGTTGGAAAGATAGGTGCTATCTAGCTAGATATTTAGGATTTTATCTTAAAGATGGTAGAGAATGGCATGCATATGTATAACGTTGCTGCATAATTGCACTTTGTCCATGTATAGGATCTGAGAGGTGACATGATATTAAGAAGATCCTTATTGATTATATTTATTTCTTTGTCTACATTTGAATATCTATATCTATATATCTATATCTATATCTCTCCTGTACAAACTAGATAATACCATTCTGGATATAGAAATAAGCAAAGATTTCATGACAAAGACACCAAAAGCAATTGCAACAAAAACAAAAATTGAAAAATGGGATCTAATTAAACCAAGCAACTTCTGTGCACAGCAAAAGAAACAATCAACAGAATGAACAGACAACCTACAGAATGAGAGAAAATTTTTGCAAACTATGCATCTGACAAAGGTCTAATATCCAGCATCTGTAAGAAACTTAAACAAATTTACAAAGATAAAACCAAACATCCCCATTAAAAAGCAGACAAAGGACAGGAACAGACATTTTTCAAAAGAAGACATACATGTGGCCAACCAGCATATGATAAAAAACTCAACATCACTGATCATTAGAGAAATGCAAATCAAACACGAGATACCATCTCACACCAGTTAGAATGGCTATTACTAAGAAGTCAAAAAATGACAGATGCTGATAAGGTTTTAGAGAAAAAGTAACACTTATACACTGTGGGTGGGAGTGTACATTAGTTCAATTAGTGTGGAAGACAGTGTGGTGATTCCTCAAAGACAAAAACAAACTACAATTTGACCCAGCAGTCCCATTACTGGAAATATATCCAAGGGAATATAAATCATTCTGTCATAAAGACACATGCATATATATGTTCACTGCAGCATGATTCACAATAACAAAGACATGGAATCCACCTAAATGCCCATCAATGGTAGATTGGATAAATAAAATGTGGTACATATACACCATGGAATACTATGCAGCCATAAAAAAAGAGAAGATCATTTTCTTTGCAGGAACATGGAAGGAGCTGGAGGCCATTATCCTTAGCAAACTAATGCAGGAACAGAAAACCAAATACTGCCTGTTCTCACTTGTAAATGGGAGCTAAATGATGAGAACACATGAACACATAGAGGGAAACAACACACTGGAGCCTATTGGAGGGTGAGGGTGAGAGAAGGGAGAAGATGAGAAAAAATAACTAATGGGTACTAGGCTTAATACCTGGGTGACGAAATAATCTGTAAAACAAACCCCCATGACACAGGTTTACCTATATAACAAACCTGCACATGTACCCCGGAACTTAAAATAAAAGTTAAATTTAAAAAGATATGTATATTTCCTTCTATCTAATATGAATTAGATAATAATTACTAAAGCTTAAACTACTGAATTCTGAAACCAACTTCACTGGATAAAGGATGCGTTTATCGAAGTTGCTGTTGTATGTTGTATAGTGATCTCAACTAATTTATCTCAACTAATTTGGAACAAATCTCCCTTAAAGAAAGACAAATGAAAATAAAATGTTTATTATTTCATTTTATAACCTAAACATACGACTGTATTGCTTAGTAAATTTTGGTATGTTGACATAATCCAGTCTTTAAAATGAAGTATATTTGGTAAATATTTCATTTTCTCAACTATACAGGCAATAGTTATGTCAAAATAATCTGGTTTTATTTAGAATAGAGCCACCTTGTTGAGGAAATGCATCAATAAGGCCCTGTGGAGCAGGTGTTCTTCTCTGGAGCATGAAGTTTTTCTGGGAAAAACTTATCTGAATAAAACAAGCAGAAACACTTGTTTTGATTCCTGCCCTCCGTTGGGATGGTATTGGACATATTTAAAGTATACAATTTGGTAAATCATTGATACAGAAAGATATACAGTAAGTGCACTGTAAGAAGAGAGTGAAAGTATGGAGGAACTGGAATACTCAGCCTGTGGGTGGAAATGTAATATGCTACAACCACTTTGGAAAACAGGTTAGCAGTTTCTTGAAAAGTGAAACATGCATATACCCTACGATTCACGTATTTACTAAAGAGAAATGAAGGCATATGTCTGTATGAAGACTTACATGTAAATGTTCATAGTAGCTTTATTTGTAAAAGCTCAAAACTGGAAACAATGCAAGTTCCATCAATAGGTGAATGGATAAATGAATTGTGATATATCCATAAAATTGAATATAATTTAGAAATAAACAAGGGATTGATAACTTATATACATGGATGAATCTCAGGATAATTCTGCTGAATGAAATAAGTCAAACAAGAAAGCATATATACTGTATTATTCCATGTGTATAAAACTCTAGAGAATTAATCTGTAGTGATAAAAAGCAGATCAGTAGCTGCCTGGGGGAGGGAGGGTTTTGAGGAGGGATAAGCAAGAGGGATGACAAAGGGGCATGGGAAAACTGTTGGGGGTGACATATGCACTACCTTATTGTATTAATGGCTTACCAAATTGTGTACTTTAAATACATACAGTAGTTTGTTTATTGTATGTCAATTATGCCTCAATAAAGCTATTAAAAATTAAGAAAGAAGAGCATGAAGGGGCACTACGTAAGAGCCAGATGCAGTAAAAGAGTGTGAGGCATGGGATAAGCTACCCTCTATGACCCTGCCATCTACTATGAAGTTTTGTTTTGTTTGCTTTTTAGTAATTTTTGAAAATAGAGACCATATAATCATTTATATGGTCATTATATGTCACCCAGGCTGGAGTGCAGTAGTGGGATCTCAGCTCACTGCAACCTCCACCTCCCAGGTTCAAGCAATTCTCATGCCTCAGCCTCCCAAGTAGCTGGGATTACAGTCACATGCCATCACGCCTGGCTAATTTTTGTATTTTTAGTAGAGACCGGGTTTCACTATGTTGGCCAGGCTGGTCTTGATCTCCTGACCTCAAGTGATCTGCCCATCTTGGTCTCCTAAAGTGCTGGGATTACAGGCATGAGCCACTGCGCCCAGCGAGATGGTATAAAGAATATTTTAAGAAACACTTTTATACTTTTATTGCAGCCACAGAAAATCATACATTATTAATCTTTATTTTAAAAAACCCAGGCTTTGTTTCTAAAATAACTGAAACATTTCAGATAAAAGTTTTCTTGCCTAGTTCAATTTCAGGTTTTGGCTATTGTGAATAAACTCCTATAAATATGTGGGCAAGTTTTTGTTTTTTGTTTTTGACATATGTTTTCATTTCTCAGAGGTAAGTGCCTAGCAATGAATTGCTGAATCATATGGCAGGTGTATATTTAAATTTTGAATGAATAACCACATATTTTTACAAGGTCATGGTGTCATTTTACACTTCCAGTGACAATATGAAGGGCTTATTTTCTCCACATACCTGTTAACATTTGGTGTTAAGTATGCTATTTCTTCTCTTTTTGGCTTCTATTTTCAGGAAATATCTTTCTTCACTCCTTCACTTTCAGTCCATATGTGTCCTTAAAGGTGAAGCGAGTGTCTTGTAGGCAGCAAATAGTTGCATTTTGTTTTCCAGTCCATTTAGTTACTTTATTTTTTTATTGGAGAATGCAGTCAATTTACATTCTAGGTAATTATTAATATATAAGAACTCTTATTGCTGTTTTGTGGTTTATTTTCTTTTTAAACCATCCTTTGTTTCTTTCCTCCTTTCTTACTGTCTTTTGTGATTTGATGATTTTCTGTGCTGGTATGATTTGATTTCTTAGTTTTTATATTTGTGCAACTATTATAAGTTTTTGTATTGTGGTTACCATGAGGCACAAATAAAATATTTTGTAGTTGTACCAGGCTTTGAAAGCTGATAACAACTTAACTTTCAATACAAAATGTCTGCATTGTACTTTTTCCCCTATTTGTTATTTGGATGTCAAAATGTGTATCTTGTGTAATTTGTATCCCTTAGTTTATTGTAGTTATAGGTGTTTTTCTTCTAACACTTATATTAGAGATAAAATTGCTTTATGTACTACCATTATAGTACTAGAGTATTCTGAATATGACTGTGTATTATTTATATCACCAAGTTTTATACTTTTATATGTTTTATGTTGTTAATTTGTATCATTGTTTTTTTGGTTTCAGCTTAAATATCTCCCTTTCATGATTCCTGTAAGGCAGGTGTAGTGATGATGACACCCCTTAGCTTTTTTTTTTTTTTGTCTGGGAAAGTTTTAATTTTTCTCTTATTTCCTTAGAATAGCTTTGCAAGGGCCGGGCGCAGTGGCTCACGCCTGTAATCCCAGCACTTTGGGAGGCTGAGGCGGGTGGATCACCTGAGATCAGGAGTTTGAGACCAGACTGGTGAACATGGTGAAACCTGTCTCTACTGAAAACACAAAAATTGGCCAGGCATGATGGCAGGTGCCTGTAATCCCAGCTACTCAGGAGGCTGAGGCAGGAGAATCGCTTGAACCTGGGAGGTGGAGGTTGCAGTGAGCCGAGATCACGCCATTGCACTCCAGCCT